TTGCTAACGACATAAATAACAATTATGTATTCCAGTAGAATTATAGAGTAGTTAAAGCTATAATTGAATGGTTCAGTTATTCTTCACAAAGGTGGTCGCGATGAGTCGTGGGGTGTTGGAAACCACTAAACCAGTATGGCTATATACCAAGTGAAAGGACACGAGGACAAGGAGCCGGGATATGAGTAACGATGCCCAACCACTTTCACCATCGGGGATAGAACGCCGACCTGCAAGAGGCTTGGCTTCCATTAAACCGACCAGACCGAGTGAATGGAATGTACAATTCTGGTCTCAATTATCAGCGTTGTACAACACATGTACAACTGTGGTCTCACAGCTGCATCAGTTCGACATAGAAGGGCAACCAAATATTTCTAAGAAAGGTAGGTGAGGACAAGAACGATGGACCATTCTGCAGGTCGGCGTTCGACTCCCCTGATGGTTCAAGTACCTTCATTTCCGCCCTCATAGCTCTTGCAATGAGGTGGCACCACGCCATTACCCTCATCATATGCGCCGCAGTCAGAACTGGCAGTGTGGGTGGTGAGGTACAAGGAAGCGATCACTCTCCCTCACACCTGGAAGTCTGCCATCGTCAACACCCACTGATGGATCCGTTATTGGTGCTCAATAACCCTACTATACCACTGAAGCAACTGTATATCCCCCCCCTTACATTATATCAATACCTGATTAGATTATAATATTCCTCCATTACATTATAACTTTCCCCATTGCATTATAACATTAGCCAGCTACATTATAACAGTCCCCCCTCTCCTACTTCGTCTTCCCACCTGGCTAGTGGTCCCAGAACAAGTGCACCCGTTCATCTCGCCAAAACCTTCTGCTACGTAACATCTCATACAACACATGTCACTCCCCTTTCGTCCTAGAACATAACAACGACAACAAAACCCCATGTTCCATCGTTATATCACGCTCCTTGTTGAGAAACACGTCAATATAACCAAATATCCGACGCTTTTTGCGTACTGCCCAAGATGGCTCGCACAGAAAACCGGGCACAATACGGGGTTCGTCTCTGGCTTTACCGGTTTGAGGGCGGTTGGTGGGCCGACCCACTGGATGTATAGCCTGCAATATCAAGGCGGCGTTGGGGAGGTCGTGTACCTCGGTTATAATTTCAGTGGCAGCAAGGGTCGTCTCGCCTCACGATAAATATCATGGGGCCAGGGGAGGGGTGTGATTCCGGCAGTTCTCCACTCCCTTTCTGAGCCACCATCAAGGTTGGCGATAAATTTGTGACAAGGTTGGGGACCCAGGTGGGGCGGGAACCGGAGCGTAGGTGCCTTAACACAGGAAGGAGGAAATCCCGAGGGAGGTGATGTCGATGGCATTGTGTTTGCGTTCTTGAGCTGAGCACGGGCGATGGTGCAGTAACCAAGCCAGACTTTTGGGAGAGTATTTGAGGAGAGCGAGTGTAATGAGGGCCCTTTGCTGTGAAATACTCCGTTCGGAGTACCGAGGGAAGAAGGTCCAAGGCTCATCTTGAGGGAAGGTGTTAGCGGGGGCATTAATTAGCGTCCCTGTCGGACTCTGTGCCGGGAATGACATCAAATAGATCAGGTCTTGGTGGCCGTCAAGAGAGAGTATAGACCTCTTGGGTTAATACCTTTTCCTCACATAGCTAGTTGAGGAGTGAGAGAATTTGTGCAGCCAAGGACAATTGGAAGTAATGTAGAGATGATGATTGAATCTGAGTGTGACAGTATCTTAACCACTGCATGATGTCAGCTTATCAACCACACCCAGTTGCCATCTTGCCAACCACTGCGGGATGTGTTTAAAGTCGTCCAGATCACCACACACCCCACCAGTGGATGGGGTTATTATTATTATTATTATTATTGAAACTTGTTTAGTTCACCAATTTGCAGCTCCAAGACTGGAGTCTTTAGCACTGACTTCTTTGCGTAGTCTAAAACACCCCTCCCCCCCCCCCATATTATACAAGTTACACCCCCAACCACCGTCTACACACTCCCCCCTACACTATCACCAGCACCACACCCACTGCACCACACCCCATCCCCCCACTACCACCAACCTTATCATCACCACCACTACTCATTCAACCATTACTACCACCACCACCTACTCAGCCGATGCTACATAACTACTACACATACACTCCACAAATGTGTGTGTGTGTGTGTGTGTGTGTGTGTGTGTGTGTGTGTGTGTGTGTGTGTGTGTGTGTGTGTGTGTGTGTGTGTGTGTGTGTGTGCTTCAGTGAGTATTTGTCACCTAAAACCATCCTCTTGTTTCATATAATAACTTCCACGATTGCACTAAATGGAATCCCCAGACGTTCCTAATTGTAAAAAAAAAAAAAAACTCACATTAGGCGACTAGAAGCAAGAAATGGCATTAATCCATGGTTAGACTTCAGGGATAATAAACTTGGGTGTAAAATATGTGCAAACATAAACAATGTAACACTTTTCACTTTTAACGGTTTAAGACTAACAAATGAGTGGCAGATGTACCAAGTATTCTATTATGGAGCAGATCGAAGTACACGCTGGAAGTCTCCCAGAAGTCAAATTGTTGATCATGAACTATGGACAACTCAAACTGTTGCTTTACGTGTTGCAAATGTAGCTAGTGAAGATGTTCTTGTAATATTGTGTGATGTCATGAAGGCTTCGCATCTATAGACAACTTGTTCAATTTTGTGCTCTGCATATTATTTAGCTCAGAATGACAGACCATACTCTGATCACTTTGGCTTACTGGAACTACAAAAGCAAAATGGTGTTGACATTGGAATGGGACTGCATTCCTGCACTAGTGCCACAGAGATAATTAATCACATAGCCATTAATATGAAAAATAAAATTTGCCAGCATATCAAGCAGATAAATGACAAAATTGATGTTCTTATTGATGAATCAACAAGCCTGAGCATTAAAACAACCTTGATAGTTTACTTGAAATGTGAAAGTGATAAGGAAGGTAATCCCCATTTCATGTTCTTAGATCTAATTGAACTACCTGATCAGAAAGCAGCAACTATTGCTAGGCATCTATTGAGCTGTCTCAATTATCATGGGTTTGATGACTTATATTTGAAACAGAACCTTGTAGCATTTGCTAGTGATGGGGCAAGTGTCGTGCTTGGTGTCAAATCTGGCGTTGCAACAATTCTCAAGGAACATTACCCTGATATAATAATCTGGCACTGTCTTAATCACAGATTAGAACTTGCAGTAGGTGATTCAGTGAGAGAAGTTCATGGAATTAATCATTTTCAAGCATTTATGGACAAATTGAACTCAGTTTACAGTAGATCACATCTAAATCAAAAGGAACTATCTGAATGTGCCTCTCAACTTGAACAACAGATTTGCAAAATACGCCGTGTTCTGAGCACCAGGTGGGTGGCCAGCTCGTTTTGAACAGTTTCAGCAGTGTGGAAAAATTATGAAAAAGCAGTGAAAGATGAAACAAGATTTGGAAGTGATAGAAAAACCTATGAAGGTCTGTTGAAAAAGCTAACTTCAGAACAGTTTCTACTGGATTTAGCTCTAATGTATGACACGTTGCATGAACTTGGTTTACTGTCAGAGTGTCTACAGAAACACACTACTTCGATTGTGTATGTAGACAAACTGATTCAACGGAGCATAAGGTCATTGCATGGACTAAAAGAGAAACCTGGCACTAGAACTTTAGAAGCTCAAAAGGCAATTGAAAAGGGGAAGTTTGGAGGAATTACCATAACAAGCAACAAGAAAATTGTCTCCATTAATTATCAAGTTTCTTACTAGTCTTGTGAACAATTTGCAGCACACGACAACATCCATGAAAGGCTCTCAAACATCTGAACCTCAAAGTACTGTACTGTATGTATAAATCACTGCTAATTGAAATGTGTGTCCTTGAAAAAGACTACTGGCCTGATTAAATACCACCTAATTATGAAGAAGCTGAAATATTCTCTCTGTAAGAGGTTTAAGCCTTCTTACTCTGCACTAAATGCCTTTAGAGACTATGTGGAGGAACATGGATGCTGCATCCTCCAAGATTTACACCCATTACTGAGCCGTTTACAAGTTATTCCTATTAGTACTGCTTAGTGAGAGAGGGGATTCAGCCACATGAATCTGATAACAACAACATGCTCAAGAATTCTCATAAATCATATATCAGCACTTATGTTTATTAAACTACATGGACCTCTAATTCAGTGGAATCCTGAACCATATGCCATATCATTGCTGCGGTGCTACACATCGGCAGATGACACCAGGACATGAGCTGCTTCAGACCCGTGAAAACATCTCGCATCTGACCCTTTGTGTAAATTATTGTGAAACTTCTCACTAGTTGTATTTTGTGAACACTAAGTGTTTTGACTTTTTCAATTGATAATACACTATTGATGTTTTTTCTTTATTTGTTTGATGCAGTAATTATATTTATGATAATTAGTGAGTACAAACACGAAATACTTAATCGTGTGACACGAAGCTGGGGGTATATAGGTCATCCATGGCACTGGGCCACCTTCACCTCCGACCTCACTTGCTTCATATGCTCCTTCCTGCTCTACCTATAAGCTGGGTCAAGTCTATTGGAGGTTTACAGGCTGGTGTGGATGCGGCACATCCACATAGATTGGGCATATTCACATGGATGAGGCACATCCACGGGGATCTGTTAATCCCTGTGGATGTACCTTAAGTACCTTAGTATCTAAATGTGCTGTCAGTAACTTGTTGGGTGACTATTCACCCTCATCCTTGGTTTCCTTTCCCACATAATGGTAAACCGGTATATCAATGCACACAGTGTAATGCAGTTATATTAATAACATACCATCATTAACAGGAAACTCGAATAAAGGTTTATACATGTATCAATTAGAACTCGTTCTATAGCCAATTTGAATTAGGCGCGCCACTTGAAAAGAAAACGAGATGCTGTGTTTACCGTGCAGTGCTGCCCTCCAGCGGTCGCCTTGACAACTAAGTAAACAAGAAATGACAGCGTTGGGAGGACGGGGAGAAAATATCGGGCTCACTGTCATGGCAATTCTCGCGGTGCTATCATGCAGGATTAGCAATTGAGTTGGGTTCCAGATGAAGGCGAGTCCCGGAAGTGTGATCTATGGGTACTGTTCGCGAAGTGCGGTCTTAGAAACGTGATTGTGTGAGGTGTTTTTGTAAGATTTGTAAGAAACAGCGGAAGGCGTGTTTTGTGAGCTTGGGCTTTGGGGAGTTGCAGAGTTTTCTCAATTTTGTTTTAGGTCAGTCAAAATGAAATAGGTGGTTTATGAGCCGGGATTTATGGGTCAGTGGCGACCTCATATCCAGCTGTTGTGGTTATGAGTATATGGAGTGAATTGTGTTCATTATAAGATCATGCATTTTTGTGCTTTTGACAATTATATTGGGAATAATAGATTCATGTATTTTTAGCTTTTACTAATTTGCCATTCTTAGTTGTCATTTTTATTTTATCTGAGATTTTTGCTTGTAAAGCCTATGTATAGTCTTTGTGGCTTGTGGCTTTGTTGATAATTACTTACTTGCTGTCTTGTAAAGAACTGTGTTTAAAGTTTTAACATGTGGCTCTGACTTAATATTTGAAAATTTGAGAATTTTTTGTATTCCTTACCATTTTTTACATGTTCTTGGGAGCTATTAAAGTTTGTTTAATTTGCATACTATGGTGTGAACATTATTTCATTGTATATATATTTTTGAGAAAGTACTATTAATATTACTGCAATTACCATAGTTTCTATATAGATTTCTAAATGCAGTAGAATCTCTATTCAGTGGACCTCAGTTTGAAGAATCTTCGGTTAGAATACACATTTTCCATGCCAAATTTACTCACCCGATTTGATGAACCAGAGTTCACTGAAGCAGGGGATGTGTGGATCTGCAAAGAATGTTGTAAAAGAGTTCATAAATTTAGGCAACATTACAAGAAATAGTTGGGGTTTGGGAAGCCCACTTAGCATATTTAAAACCAAATTATAAGGTTCTTTTCCAGTTGCAGAGATTTATGTTCAGTAAAATACAGTATAGGCCCTCTCTCCTTTGAAAATGAGATTTCAAGGCTTGGCCATAAGAAATATGCTAAATGAGGTTAAATCTTTTACAGATAGGTTGTCTTGGTTGTTTTCTTTCATATGACAGGTTGAAATTATAATTTTGCTCGGTGAAATTGGCCCTTAGAGCTTCGGAAATATTAGTCAATGAACAGTAACGCTATTAATATGGCTCCAATCACGGTTTTGATGATTCTTTGCCCTGGACTGGATTGTATGAAAAGCTTAATTAATGGATTAATTAATAAAAGCCTGGATTAATAAAGGTTATATGTTGACTGACAAGAAATTGCTCATTATTTGTAGTTGTTGCCACTGCTTTTGTACTTATCCCTGCTGCTACTGACAGCTGCTTATAGGCTAACTTGGAACACATTTGTTTATTCTATATACAGTGCATGCCACGCAGTTTATCAAATATGTAAATTATTTTACTTCCATCTGGAAGTTCAGCTTTGGTTCATAAGAAGAATGGCTTATTCTTAAATATTTCTAGGCCTACATATACATTTTACAAATCACAAGTCTAGAGGTTTCCATCAAATTCATGAAAAACAATAATATTCTCAACCAATGACTGGTTGGTTAGATTCACACCACAACAGCAGCAATTTTTTAATGTGATCTTGAAGTAAATGACAAGCTTAGTCTATATACATGATGCATTTTGAGTTAACTTAGATCAAGTTCTTCTTGATGATGAGTGTGGTTGAGAATTGAGAGTGGAGAGAGTGGCAAGATGGTGAAAATTTAATAATACCTATAATAATAATGACAATACTTTAATTGATAATAATAATAATACAGGGTGTAATAGCAACATTGACTATAATAATGGTTATAAAATATTTGTAAAGCAATAATATATTACATTTATTCCTGCAAATGTTTTTGCAATTACATAATATTGTTTTGCAATTCAGGGCATTAGGTCAGCTACTACTTTTCAATTAGCATTTATTGTTAAATGCTCATGTTGATGTTGCAACCAGTTGTTTGTACACATTTTACTTGGAAATCAGAGTTGTTTATTGTGTTTCTAAACTAAAGTCAAACAAAAATGAGAGGGGTCCTGGTAGTACAGAACAGTAGAGTCGGGTTTGTTCTCGACTTACAATCGAGAATTTCATGTTCAAATCCCAGGCGGGACAGAAATGTTTGGGCGTGTTTCCTTTCACCTAATGCATCTGTCCATGTAGCAGTAAATAGGTACCCAGGAGTTAGTCAGCTTGTGGGTTTGCATCCTGGGCGGGGTCAGTAATTCGACCCTGGAGGAGGACCTTGGCATGAGCCTAACATGTACTATATGTATAACCTTGCTTCCGGTCCCCCAACACAATGAATTATTATTTTTATTATTATTATTATTTTTATTAATATTATTATTATAAAAAAAGTGTGTATTTCCAGTTGCACACTCCCAGAAAATATGATTGTATGTCAGAATTCTTTATGTTCTTAATAGTCTGTATTTTGTTAATGTATGCTGGAAATATTAGCTGTTAATACCATAATTGTGTGGTTAAAGTTTCAGCTTGCATATTTTTAGTAAAGAAAACTTCTTGTTTGATCGTAAACAATGTGTTTTACTAGTTTAAGGCAGATATTAGATGGTAGGTCTTTAAGGAAGATGAAAAGTCATATTGGCATTTATATTAGCTCTACAGACATGGAATTTGCTTTTTGGATTATGTTTTACTGTCTTACCTGAGTTATTTAAACAGTGGTTAATGATTGGTTATTGGAGTTCTATATCCATGTATGGCAATAAAGAAAGGAAATAAAAATATAATCAAAACAGTATATGGGAGTAAATCAAATCAAATATGGTTGAAAGTCTTGATACTGTAGATAGCTAACAGTGGATAAATAATTTCAGAAAGACTGATATCATTTGGAAAAGTTGAATGTAATTTAGTGAAGTTATAAATATCTGTAACTTTACCTGGATACAATTAATTGTGCTTGTTTAAAAAATTAACTGTCTTTCAATTTTTCGAGGGAGCCAGATTCATATTTTTGAAATATTTTTTATGTTACTGTATCAGAGTATTATTTTTCATTCATTTGCATCTTGGGTGTACTGTAATTTGATTGAGATTTTATTGTAGAATATAATTTTATATATTTTTTTTTTTATTCCAGAGAGAATGAACCCATACCAGTACCGGGCACCTCCAGTAGGCATCGAACTTGTTCCACGACCCTTAAAGATGAGGCTCATAGTTCGAGCTTTAAGCGTTAACTCAGGATCACATGGGAGACATGGAACCCTCAGTCAATTACTTGGTGTTACTACAGGAATAGTTTTAGGTGTTGTACTTACAGCAGCTATCAGACACTTAATGCTCAAACCTCATATGTGCTTAGCTTTAAAAAATTTGCCTATGTATGATGATAAAAATGATGCTTTAAGAATAATAGGTCTTGATATTAGTCAAAATGCTCAAAATAGTGCTAAAAATCTACTTTTTGTTGGTGTTATGACTGCAAACAAGTACCTGGATACTCGTGCTAAAGCTGTATATGAAACATGGGGCAAACAGTTGCCAGGAAAAATTGCATTCTTTTCCTCAGAAGCATCATCTACAAATGTTGATATTCCCCTAATTAGATTAAGAGATGTCGATGATTCGTATCCACCACAGAAAAAGTCATTTATGATGATCAAATATATGGCAGAACATTTTGCAGAACACTTTGAATTTTTCATGCGTGCAGACGATGATATATATGTCCGACCTGACAGATTAGAGCTCTTTTTGCGGTCTGTAAACAGCACCAAATCTCATTTCATTGGGCAGGCTGGCAAAGGAAATCAAGAAGAATTAGGGCACCTTTCACTAAAAACGGATGAAAACTTCTGCATGGGAGGTCCAGGTGTTATCTTGAGTCGTAGCACATTGTTACAAGTTGCTCCTCATGTTCGAGACTGCTTAAAAAATCTACGGTCTACGCATGAAGATGTTGAAGTGGGACGATGTGTGAGAAAATATGCAAAAGTCCCATGTACGTGGTCATATGAGGTGAGTACTGTATGGTGTTAATTTTCTTATTATAATTATTTTTTTTGTTTTGTTTTATATACAGTATATACAAGAGTTCTTACATTCTTGTAAAGCCATGAATGCATAGCATTTTGGGCAGGTCCTTAATTTTATTTTTTTCCCTGGAATACAACCTGCCAAATTGTTTAACAACCAGGTACTCATTCACTTTTGGGTGAACAAAGGCTTCAGTTAATGATTGGCGCCCAGTCAATCCTCTCTGGCCAGGATACGAAACAAAACCAAAAACCAAACATGTTTGGTTTTTGGCCAAAACGCTCGCGGAGTGCCGAGCTAGTGCTTTACCACTATGCCATGGAGTTTGCTATTACCTGTATTATTATTGTGATTGGGTTAGCATGCTATTGAGTATATAGAGGGGTCCTTGGATAGTAAAGAGTATGGAATTTGTGTAATGTTTTTAAATGCTGCAAAAGACATCTTACGGGGAAGTAAGAGCCTGTTTTGTAATGAGGGGATTGATCTGATTGTTTATTGCTTATGGCGGGGTATATCTAGGCTGTGTAGTGTTCCTGTGGTTGTTCAGTTTATGCAGTATATTTAGGGTCATAGGGAGGGCAATATCAGAATACTAGAAAAGTATGTTTGTTTAGTGTATGATGAAAGTTATGTAGTGTAGATCTATTTCTCATTTGATATAGATGTTATAGATTATTTGAAAATTTGGATTATGTATGTGAGAGAAGACTGATGTCAAAAATAGACAAAATTGAAATAATGGAGGAGGAGAGAGAAGAAAATGCTGTGTGAAATAGGGGTAAACAGAGAAGTCCTAGAAATGTTTGGTCAGTTTAAATAGCTACAGGTATATGGATTATATCTAATTAGCACTGGAGGGATTTGTGCTAAAGTTAAGAGTAAGTCAGAGCAAGGAAGTGGTAGGTGCAATGAAAGATCTGATTAGGATATAGATGCACTCTAATGGTGGTTGAACAGGTGGATGCTTACCTTAAACCCTGACAAATGCAAAGTAATGAGGCTAGGTGAATGGTAGAGTTGACTCCAGGGCAGTACAGGCTGAAACAAGGCATCTTCCCAAAACAGTGAAAGAAAGGGGTTTTTGAGCATTTATTTGCATTTATGTACTTACATACAAGAAGGTACAATGGGTTGCACTATTGCATGTGATAGTGATTAATTTGTACATTCTTTAAAATCATCTAAAACACAGCATTTTAAATCATCTAAAACACAACATTTTGACCAGTTATAATACCAATCCTGTCACCTGAGGAACACATTAGCACAATAATGTCTGCAGAATATGCCAAATTTGAAACGCTTTGCGTAATAGTGGCTTCATTAGTATGTGTACTTTATGTCCCTACAATTGTCTCCCTTATGTTCTTTCTTCACATATTCTTTTGAAAAAAAATTATTATTATTATTATTATTAATTGGCAAGTAGCAGAATAGCCTCCAGAATGCTGTTACAACTTAGATGTACTCACCTAGTTGTACTCGCCTAGTTGTGCTTGCGGGGGTTGAGCTCTGGCTCTTTGGTCCCGCCTCTCAACCGTCAATCAACAGGTGTACAGGTTCCTGAGCCTATTGGGCTCTATCATATCTACACTTGAAACTGTGTATGGAGTCAGCCTCCACCACATTGCTTCCTAATGCATTCCATTTGTCAACCACTCTGACACTAAAAAAGTTCTTTCTGATATCTCTGTGGCTCATTTGGGCACTCAGTTTCCACCTGTGTCCCCTAGTGCGTGTGCCCCTTGTGTTAAACAGCCTGTCTTTATCAACCCTGTCGATTCCCTTGAGAATCTTGAATGTGGTGATCATGTCCCCCCTAACTCTTCTGTCTTCCAACGAAGTGAGGTTCAATTCCCGTAGTCTCTCCTCGTAGCTCATACCTCTCAGCTCGGGTACTAGTCTGGTGGCAAACCTTTGAACCTTTTCCAGTTTAGTCTTATGCTTGACTAGATATGGACTCCATGCTGGAGCCGCATACTCCAGGATTGGTCTGACATATGTGGTATATAATGTTCTGAAAGATTCCTTACACAAGTTTCTAAAGGCCGTTCTTATGTTAGCCAACCTGGCATATGCTGCTGATGTTATCCTCTTGATATGAGCTTCAGGGGACAGGTCTGGCGTGATATCAACCCCCAGGTCTTTCTCTCTCTCTGACTCTTGAAGTATTTCATCTCCCAAGTGATACCTTGTATCTGGTCTCCTGCTTCCTACCCCTATCTTCATTACATTACATTTGCTTGGGTTAAATTCTAACATCCATTTGTTCGACCATTTCTGCAGCTTGTCCAGGTCTTCTTGAAGCCTCAAGCTGTCCTCCTCTGTCTTAATCTCTCATAATTCTGGCGTCGTCAGCAAACATTGAGAGGAATGAGTCTATACCCTCTGGGAGATCATTTACGTATATCAGAAACAGGATAGGTCCAAGCACAGAGCCCTGTGGGACTCCGCTGGTGACTTCACGCCATTCTGAGGTCTCACCCCTCACTATAACTCTCTGCTTCCTATTGCTTAGGTACTCCCTTATCCACTGGAGCGGCCTACCAGTTACTCCTGCCTGTTTCTCCAGCTTATGCATCAACCTTTTATGGGGTACTGTGTCAAAGGCTTTCCGACAGTCCAAAAAAATGCAGTCCGCACATCCTTCTCTTTCTTGCTTGATCTTTGTCACCTGATCATAGAATTCTATCAAGCCTGTAAGGCAAGATTTACCCTCCCTGAACCCATGTTGATGGGTTGTCACGAAGTCTCTTCTCTCCAGATGTGTTACTAGGTTTTTTCTCACAATCTTCTCCATCACCTTGCATGGTATACAAGTTAAGGACACTGGCCTGTAGTTCAGTGCCTCTTGTCTGTCACCCTTTTTAAATATTGGTACTACATTAGCAGTCTTCCATACTTCTGGTAGGTCTCCCGTTTCCAGTGACCTACTATACACTATGGAGAGTGGCAAGCAAAGTGCTCCTGCACACTCATTCAATACTCATGGTGAGATTCCATCCGGCCCAACAGCTTTTCTCACATCCAGCTCCAGTAGGTGCTTCTTGACCTCATCTCTTGTAATTTCGAACCTTTCCAAGGTCACCTGGTTTGCTGCCACCTCTCCTAGCGCCGTGACTTCTCCCTGTTCTATTGTAAAGACCTCCTGGAACCTTTTGTTGAGTTCTTCACACACCTCTTTGTCATTCTCTGTGTACCTGTCCTCGCCCACCCTAAGTTTCATCACCTGTTCCTTCACTGTTGTCTTCCTCCTGATGTGACTGTGTAGTAGCTTTGGTTCGGTCTTGGTTTTATTAGCTATATCATTTTCATACCTTTTCTCAGCTGCTCTTCTCACACTAACATACTCGTTCCTGGTTCTCTGGTATCTCTCTCTACTTTCTGGTGTTCTGTTATTACGGAAGTTCCTCCATGCCCTTTTGTTCAGCTCCTTTGCTTTCATACATTCCCTATTAAACCACGGAATCTTCCTTTGCTTCTCTGTTTTTTCCTGTTGGGCTGGGACAAACCTGCTTACAGCCTCCTGACATTTTTGGGTGATTTTTGGGTGAGATGTAAGACCATCTTGAAGTCCACACATGAAGGAGCTTAAAATAAAAACAGAGAAAATAGAGAGATACATATCTAAAGTTGCCCCCAGAGCCGAGGGGACTCACTTGCTGTGAAAGATTGAGCTCAAACTCACAACATTGTAGGAAAGACAAGTCGGGGAATATGATACCAGTGTACGAGATATTATAGGGAATTGAGAGGCTGAACAAAAAGGCAACGTTCAAAATTATTACGAGAAACGTGATTAATGAGTCTGCTTTAACTGACTAGGAGATGGACAGGTGAGGGTAAGGAGTTAATGCTCGACCTTGTATACACAACTAGGTTAGTACACAGGAGTGAGTGAGTGAGTGAGTGAGTGAGTGAGTGAGTGAGGGAGGGAGGGAGGGAGTGAGGGAGGGAGTGAGGTGAGGTGAGGTGAGTGCCTGCCTGCCTGCCTGCCTGAGCCCACCCCCTACACACAAGTGTGTATGAGTTTGCGAGATGTAAGAGAGGAAGACAGGGATGGTAAATTGTTGGGGGAGTAGTGTAGGAGAGTGGTGGGAGCGCTCCCACACCCTCAGTCACCACACCGGGCACTAGGGTAAGTTGATCTGGGAACCTGGGCTGTCCATTACCACCCTTGGGGACCCTCCCATCCACCACCCTCCCCACCCCCTTTCCTCTTGTCTACCCTTCCCTTAACGTCTCTCTTCCCCTCTCTTGTCATGTACCGACCCCTTTTTACCATGGCTCGCCATGCTGCTTCCCCTTTTTACCCCATGCCCTCTACTCCTTTATGACACCCTTCTGTTTACCCATGTCTTCCTCCCCTTCCATTATGTGCAGCGTCTTGTTATACAGTTTTTTTCCATTCTCTGGTTTCCATCTTTCCCTCCCCTTCCCTCACTTTCTCTCCGCATCTCACTTTCTCTCCACGTCTCACTTTCTCTCTCCTTCCCTCACTTTCTCTCTCCTTCCCTCACTTTCTCTCTCCTTCCCTCACTTTCTCTCTCCTTCCCTCACTTTCTCTCTCCTTCCCTCACTTTCTCTCTCCTTCCCTCACTTTCTCTCTCCTTCCCTCACTTTCTCTCTCCTTCCCTCACTTCTCTCTCTTCCCTCACTTCTCTCTCTCCTTCCCTCACTTTCTCTCTCCTTCCTTCCTCACCTTTCTCTCTCCTTCCCTCACTTTCTCTCCTTCCCTCACTCCCTCACTTTCTCTCTCCTTCCCTCACTTCCTCTCCTCTCCTTCTCCTTCCCTCACTTCCTCCCTCTTCTCTCCTCACTTTCTCTTCCCTCTTTCCTCTCCTCCTTCTCACTTTCTCTCTCCTTCCCTCACTTTCTCTCTCCTTCCCTCACTTTCTCTCTCCTTCCCTCACTTTCTCTCTCCTTCCCTCACTTTCTCTCTCCTTCCCTCACTTTCTCTCTCCTTCCCTCACTTTCTC